AAATAACGCATACATCCATATAAAAACTTGCACATGAATGTTCATGCTATAAATTATTGGTAATAGCCCAAAAGTGGAAACAACCCAAATCTCCAATAACTGATAAATGGATAAATAAAATGTAATATAGTCAAGCAATGAAATATTATTTGGAAATAAATAGAAATGAAATGCTGATACATGCTACAACCTGGATAGGTCTTGAAAACATTACACTAAATAAAAAACACGATCACCAAAGTGCACACACTGTAGGATTCCAATGAGATGAAATGCCCAGAACTGGCAAATCTATAGAGACAGAAAGGAGATTAATTGTTGCCTAGGGCTGGGGGATAGTTTGGGGATGAAATAAAGGGCAACTACTGAATGGAACGAGGCTTCTTTTTGAAGGTTAAAATGTTCTGGAATTAGAGGTGATGGTTACACAACTCTGTGAATATACTGAAAATCACCCAAGTGAGTTGTACACTTAAATGGATGGATTTTATTCTGCTGAGCAAGAGAAAGGTGAGGCTGTCTGCTCCCGTGAAGACTTAGTCTCAGAAATCCTCAAGAGCAGTTCTGCTCTATCCTAGAGGGTTGTATGAGTTGAAACTGACTTGATGGCAGTGAGTTTTGTGGGGTCTTTTTGTAACCAGAAAGGCCAAATTCCCATCTAGTTGGGATGAGTTTCTAGGAACTAGGAAGAAACAAGTAGGGGATGGATAAACATCTGGAGGCATCTAAGGGTTCTTGTCTTAAACTCCATACATGTTAATTCCATAGGAAAGACAGCATTTTCAATACAGCTCCAAGGTAAAGCATAGTCTTCTTTATCTGAGTTTACTCACCAGTCACTCCTTGGAAACCCTACACAGGGTCGCTATGAGTAGGAAACAACTCGATGGCACTTAACAACAACAACAGCATTGCCAGAATGTCAGTGTTGCAGGACTGGTATCAGGATTGATAGGCTTAGGCAGGTTTCCTTAGACTGAAAGGTGGAAGACAGACATCATCGAGTCATGGGAACTGGATGGTAGGTGTTATCACTTCTGGTTCAACGAAGGACCAGGGGTTTAGGCACAATGACTGGACCATGAGCTCATTCCATGAGCCCTGACAGGGAATTCAGGACTACCAGGAAGAGTAGAGGATGTGCTCTCGAGCCATCTGCCTTTGGAGGTGCAGCTCCTTGTATTTCCCCACCACTTGCTGTGACTGAAGTCAGAGCGTATTGAGATACCAAGCCTATTATGAGACGACAGAAGACCGGAAGCCAGGGTCAAAAATCAGGAAGCAGGGTGTTAGATGCCCTGGATTCCTGATGAGACTGTATTACCATCATGTTACTAGATCTACCTTTCCTATTAATGATGCCTATCTTTTGACTTCCAATAGTGCCCTAGGGAATCTGCCCACTTGAACTCCTCCCTGCTCATGCACTCAATTGTTGGATCCTGGAGGGCTTACATAATTCTGGGGCCAATTTCTCACCCTATCAAGAATTTCCCGACTATGCAATTATCTCCTAATACTGACAGGGTCCTCTGATTATGAATGTGCCCCAATACATGTTCATTGCTAAGTACTGTCGAGTCAGTTCTGACTCATAAGAGACCCTGAGTAGGGTTTCCAATGAAAGACTGATAAGTTTGAATCATTAACCCTGCGGTTAGCAGTCCAATGCTTATCCTATAGCACCACACACATAAACCAAGATGATGCCCCGCACCCACCATTGGTGATCAGGTTAATACACAGATATGAAGCTAGATGTTTCCAAGGATCACCTGTGAGAATTGCATCCAATACAGCAATTCCAGATTGCTCCCATCTAAGGTGTATACCCATGATTGCTTCAACTTACCAATTTTACATTATTCTTTTTATTCCTTTAAACCAATTACCCCTTCCCATCTCAGTATGTCGACTCACAGGCCAAAGATACATACTGCTTTTTAGTTCGAATCTAGTCCCACTAATTTACTCTTTAACAAGCCCTGTTGGTGCAGTGCTAAGTATTTGGCTGCTAACCACAAGACTGGCAGTTCCCACCCTCAAGCTGTTCCACAGGAGGAAGATGTGACAGTCTGCTTTCTGTAAAGATTGGTTATGTTGGTTGGTTACGTGCTGAGGAGTCAACCCCACTCATAGTGACACTCTATAGGATTTCCAAGGCTGTCCATCTTCACGGGAACAGAAGGCCTCATCTTTCTCCCGCAGAACCACTGTAGTTTCGAACTGCTGACCATGAGGTTAGCAGCTCGATGTGTAACCACTACACTACCAGAGTTCCTTCTGTAAAGACTATAGCCCTGGAAATCCTATGGGCAATTCTAATGTGTTCAATAGGGTCATTATGAATTGAAATCACCTTGATGGCAGCGGGTTTGGTGTTTTTGTTGTTGTTTTTTGGTATGCTTCACCTTAGGGTCTTGATAAACTCTACTGTGGAACTCAGAGGAAAAGGCTTGGTGATCTGCTGATATTAAGATCCCAGCCATGAACATCCCTACACAGTGCAGTACTATACACAACAGCAAAATACATAAATACATAAATACATAAATGGAAACAACCTCAATGTCCATAAATGGAAGAACGGGTCAAACACACCTTGGTATGTCTACACAATGGAATACTAAGCAACACTGAAGAATAATGATGAACCTTGGAAACACCTCATAAAATGGATGAACCTAGAGGATATGACACTAAGTGAAATTGTTGTTGTTGTTGTTAAATGCCTTTGAATCAGTTCTGACTCACAGCCACCCTGTGGCTACTGGGATAGAGTTTCCGAGGAGTGGTTAGTGAATTTGAACCACCGACGTTGCTATTCAAACCGACCTTAAGGTCCAGTTCATTATCCCACAGTGCCACACCAATGAGTGAAATTAGTCCATTACAAATGGACAAATATTATATGAGACCACTATAAGGTCAGCAGTTTGAAACTACCAGCTGTTCTGCGGGAGAAAGATGAGGCTTTCTGCTCCCGTAAACATTCACAGCCTCGGAAACCCTGTTATGGGTCGGAACCAAGTTGACCACACTTAACAACAACAACAACAATAAGCATTTGACTGCACGGTTGGTTTGAACCGCAAGGTCGGCAGTTCAAACTCACCAGCCACTCCTGGGAAACCCTATACAGGGCTGCTATGAGTTGGAACTGACTCAACAAAACTTAACAACAACAACTAATGTAAAAAGTCAAGAAAAGGTTTTCATACTAAACTAAACATTGTTTGATGGTTACCAGGGTGGGAGGGAAGCAGAGGTAATTCATTGTCTAGACGTAGACATATATTAACTCGGGCAACAGGGAAGGCATTATGCAACAAGAGGAAGGATGGCAAAAATAAATAAATAAATAAATAAATGATGGAGACAGGGGGGAGGAGTAAAAGGGTTCAAGGCAAAAGAGCTAAATACTGTTATCTCCACAGTCCTACAACAATGGTGATGCATGGAGAGACACTCAGGCTGAATGGGTGTGTGAGGGAGAGTGGGAATATGCCCACAAATATAGATAATACAGAGGGGCTTTGCACATGGGTATTTACCTTTGCTACAAATATGCCCATGAACATGGTGGCGCATTCAGGGGCCAAAGTAACAAAAACTTTAAAACTATTACCAAACACCCTGAAGGAATGTGTTACTGGGGTAATGGGCTTAGGTCCATAGGCTACGGGAACACCACGGTCAACTGGCACAACGTAATCCACAAAGACAATGCTCTACATCCTACTTTTGTGAGTAGTGACTGGAAACTTAAAAGGTCCCCAGTGGCTACCTAAGGTGCAACTATTTGTCTCTCCCTGTCTGGAGGTAAAAAGTGCTGAAAACTGAAGATACTCTGAGACAATTAGTCCAATGGACTAATGGACCATGTGAACATCAGTGTCAACGACCCTGAGGCCAGAAGAACTAGATGGTGCCCAGCAGCTACCGCTACCAACTGCTCTGAAAAGGATCACATTAGTGGTCCTGAATAAAGTGGGAGAAAATGTGGAACAAAACTCAAAGTTATAAAAAACAAAAATCAGGCTTACTGGTCAGATAGAAACTGCTGAAACTCTGAGACTATGAGCCCTGGTCATCCTTCGGGTCTGGAATGGAATTCACCCATTGGTTTAATTTTCAGCCAAACAGTAGATAGAGGACAACACCACCAGTGAGGTCTGCTCACCATGGAATGGTCAAGCATTGAGATAAAAAAGACGGCATCTACCCAAGGACAGAGTTCTGAAGTGTTGGGGAAAAAAGGAAGAATGGAAACAAGATGTAACTATGAAGGGATTGCAGTCATAGAGCTGAAAGGAAGTGGCTGATTTGTTGAATGTAAAACTGATGATCCGCTCTGTACACCTTCTCTCAATTCACTATAAAAAGTTTTTAAAACACGAAAAACTATGGAGTAGCTCTACTCTGTAACATAGATTGTCATGAGTCAGAATCGACTTAACAACGAACAACAATCCTTCACTTTTCTAAAATAATTACTATTTTAGAATATATAAGACATGACAGAATTTTCAAGTTACTTGAATTACCTTTCTTTTCCTAATTTGCATATTTGGTTTAACATACTGAGCAACTTTTCAAACCATTAGCAACACGAGATGTAAATGTCCTATAAAAACCCATTCAGAGGGGCCCTGGTGGTGCAGTGAAGTAAGCTTTAGATTGCTAACTGAAAAGCAGGCAGTGTGAAGCCCCCAGCGGCTCTGCGGAAACAAGACGACCTAGTCTGTTTCCATAAAGATTTACAGCTACCCTAAGTAGCACTGCTACTGTGTCCAATAGGGTTGCTAGGAGGCAAAATGGACTCCGGGATAGTAGGGTTACTTGGGTTTTGCAAGCAATCGATCACGGGCTAGTGTTCTACTTTAAACACCTTTAGGAAATGCTGCTGATATGTGAGCTTAGCATGCAGGTCCAAGGTTTAATGTTTTAAAGCCCCCATGCTAAATGTTAAAACGTCCCTTAAGCAAATGATCAAATACCTCCCAAACATGTCGCAGTGCAAGGGGTAAACCCGGTGTACTCCCAGTCATAAGTCATCTCGCTGTCCTTCTCCTGGCCAGAGGCACCCAGCGGGTGGGAGGCTGGGCTCTCCTCACACACTTCCACGAGGCAAGTCCGTTCAGTGGGCAGCTTGGGACCCTCACACTCCTCCTCAGGCAGCTCCGTCTCTGTCTGCGTGAATGTGAGGAGAACTCGACACTTCACTTCTCGGACTTGAACGCCTAACCCACATGTGGTACTGCAGGCTGACCAGGGCTCCGGAATGAACCTACAGGAAACCAGGGAGCCACAGGAAGACATCAATATAAACCATAGAGAAAGGCGGGATAATCCACCAGGGAAGGAAAATGAACTCGTTTCATTCAGAGGGAATTCAACACATTTAGAATATAATATGTGTATGTCTATTGATCACCAATTATGCAGCTAACAAATGCTCAGATTTTATTAGAAACACAAAGAGGTTTTTATAGAAAGATACTAGACCTTTGTGTCCATTCTAGAATTCAAATGTTGTGCAATGACCTTTGCAAACATCATTACAAAGATTTTCTCTAAAATTAGCTAATAAAACATTCTACATAGAGATGATTTCTAATCTAATATTTTGTAGAATATGGAGATTTTCACCAATACTTATTCACCCAATCCTTATTAAGTTGATCCTTTATAATAGGCAGGGTTTTATTAAACTGCCTTGATGTATAGAAGCTAAATTATGGGATAACTTTAAGGTTTTCTGCTGAGTAGATAAAGTTTTCAGATTCTTTTGTTTAATACAGAAATACAGTAAACTCCTGGTTTTTCTTTAAAATGTAAAAGGTATTGCAGTGTGGCTGAATACAGAAGCTGTTTTGTTTTTAACCATGGATTGTGTTGTTATGTGCCATGGAGTCGGTTCTGACTCATAGCGATCCTGTACAGGGTTTCCAAGGCTGTAAATCTTTATGGGAGTAGAAAGCCTCATCTTTCTCCTGTGGAACAGCTGATAGTTTCAAACTGCTGACCCTGAGGTTAGCAGCCAGATGCATAACCACTACACTAACAGAGCTCTTTACTATCCACTAAACCAGAGTTGGTAAACAACAAAGCCTACCTATCTGTTCTTGTTCATCCCATCAGCAAAGAATGAATTTTACACATTTAAATGGTTGGAGGTTAAAAAAAAAAATCAATATTTTGTTTATGGCTGCTTTTGGAGTCCTAGTGTGGTTCTGTGGGTTAATGCTTTGGACTGCAAAGTCAGTTTGAACCGTAGGGTGTGGGGTTCAAGCTCACCAGCCACTTGCTATGGGTCACAACCAACTGGACAGCATTTAATAACAATAATGACTGCTGGGCTTCAGATTTATGGAGTCCTGGTGTGGCAGTATGAGTTAAATTCACTGGACTGCAAAGTTGGTTTGAACTACAAGGTTGACAGTTCGAGTTCACCAGCCACTCCTCAAAAATCCTATACAGGGTGGCTATGGATTGGAACTGACTTGATGGCACTAAACAACAACAACAACAATGGCTGCTTTCACTCTTCAGTGGTTGTTAAGTGCCATCGAGTCGGTTCCGACCCATAGCGACCCTGAACAGGGTTTCCGAGGGTGTAAATCCTTACGGGAGTAGAAAGCCTCATCTTTCTCCCGCGGAGCAGATGGTAATTTCGAACCACTGACCTTAAGGTTCGCAGCCCGATTCGTAACCACTACGCTACCAGAGCTCCTTACTCTTCAGTGGTAGGCATGGGTATTTGCAACAGAGACTGAAAAATAGCTGTAACTTCTCCCTTTATAGAAAATGTTTGTTGAACCAAGCATTAAGTTTAAAAAAACAAAGAAAGATTGCAACAGAGACAAAAATATTTGGGATATTCCGTACCAACATTTTACACGACGAGACTTTTGTCTCATTTCATCACATGAGAGAACTCAGTGACAGAGTAAATTTGGGAAACATTGAGTTTAAGGGCATCCAATGGGTTTAAGTTTTCCAGTGACTATGATATATGAATGCATACTGTAAATACCCAGGAGAGGAACATGATCTACATCATTCCATAAACTTAAGTGGCTACAAACTCCTGTTCGTGGACTAGTGTTCTAACTTAAGTCACCTTAGGAAACACTATGGAGATGTATGCTTAACCTGCAATTCTAGGACTTAACGTTTAAAACTCAAGCAAGATTAGTTGTAACGTTCTGCTGGAAGTCATTCAACACAACCTCCTTTCTACAGACAAAAATTACTAGAGCTCTCTATGGTAGCCCATCTTCAATCATCAGAACAGGACACTATTGCACGAGCTGACCCACTGTTGTTGAGTCGATTCCAACTCAGAGGACAGAGGAGAACTGCTTGTAGGATTTCCAAGACTGTTGTCTCTACCCAAGCAGACTGCCACTTCTTCTTTCTGCAGGGTGGCAGGTGGATTCAAACTGCCGAACCTTTGGTGAGTAGCTCAGCACCTAACTACTGTGCAACCAGGTCTTCTTATGAGCCCCAAAAAATGACTACAAGTGAACACAAACTATTGTTAGAAATCATTAGTGGGAATCATTCTCTAATCCTCATATTCCATGAAAAGATTTGCCCAACCCAACTTTAAAAGATTCGATTTCTTAACCAAGTATGTGTTAAGAAATTCTTTTTCTTTTTGGCTTCTTTGCTTCTTAGTAATTAAAACTTCACAATGAGTATTTTAAGTGGGAAGCAGGTATGTCCATTCAAAGCTGACTCCTTTGTCCTGGTGGTTCAGACGCCGGAGAGGACGTGTGGCTATACTGAATATGGGAGAACGGTGACTATACTGAATGCTTCCTTAGCTTTCCTGGATGCTTCAGAGTTGGTTTCCAAACAGCCTCTTAAGAGACATTTCAAAAAAAATAGATGTCAGAGCTGTCCAAATTAACCATGACTGAATAAAAGGAAGTCATTACAAGTTTTAAAATCTATGCCTAATGATATTTCCTTCTCTCTCTCACTTTAGCTCTGTCTTTTCTTTCTATATATATGTTGTTGTTGTTATTGTTGTATGCCATGTAGTCAGTTCTGACCCAGGAGTGGCTGGCGTGTTTGAACCGCTGACCTTGGGGTTCAAACTGACTACGAGATCCAGCGCATTATCCGGAAGTGCCACACCAGGACTCATTCTCTCTCACTCTCTATCTATCTATGGAGGCTTTATAAAGTTTGAGGAAAAATTTCATTATATTTTAATTGCATTTTCCATGAACTTTTTGAAGCCCCCTCAAGTACACACACACACACACACACACACACACACGAGGATCAGTTAAAAAGTACTGCTCTAAAACCATAGGAATCCTTATTAAACAAAATACCAAAATGTGAAACAATT